TGTCCTTTATAGTGGCTGTAAATACACAACAGATTGTGTCCTTTATAGTGGCTGTAAATACACAACAGATTGTGTCCCTTATAGTGGCTGTAAATACACAACAGATCGTGTTAGCGGCTTTATAGTGGCTGTAAATACACAACAGATCGTGTCCTTTATAGTGGCTGTAAATACACCTTTGTGGTGGCCGTAAATACACAACAGATTGTGTCCTTTATAGTGGCCGTAAATACACAACAGATTGTGTCCTTTATAGTGGCTGTAAATACACAACAGATTGTGTCCTTTATAGTGGCTGTAAATACACAACAGATTGTGTCCTTAACGGTGGCTGTAAATACACAACAGATTGTGTCCTTTATAGTGGCTGTAAATACACAACAGATCGTGTCCTTAACGGTGGCTGTAAATACACAACAGATTGTCCTTTACGGTGGCCGTAAATACACAACAGATTGTGTCCTTTATAGTGGCTGTAAATACACAACAGATCGTGTCCTTTATAGTGGCTGTAAATACACAACAGATCGTGTCCTTTATAGTGGCTGTAAATACACAACAGATTCAGTTTCTCCTGATCACACACAGTACAACTCTACTAGTATAACATTAACATACAATCTGTAGTAAGTTAACAATATGAAGAATGCAAAGTTTAGTAAGAACAATTAAGTTTTCTTGGACAATGTGACAAAGGACACATTCCTACAAACATCAAAGCTTCAGACGCTGGTTTGCCGCCGTGGAGACTTAAAAAAGAAGATTGTCTGATGGGCGGCAGTGAGAATGTTATGATTAGCTCTGTCCTGTTTCAGTAAAAACATAACGGTGTTGGGTTTGTGAGTGATGTTACTATCGGGAAGTTCGAATATGTGACAAGGTGCCTAGACACGGTCCACTAGAGCCAGTCACATCTACCTCCACAGGCTGGCTCCCACCATCTGAGAACTTCGCTCAAACAGGAAGTCCTGCTCCGGGGAAATCCCTGCCAATTTATAATAATAATAATAAACTAACGACAATAATTTCGTTACCTTGTGTGGAACAGTTTGATGCCATCGCCATGATGTCCAGTGACGGTGGAAGCTGATCTTGATATATTTATTAACATAGTGCAAAACGGTTCACGCCATCTTGTCCGGTGATTTCCCCGCTCCTGGTTTATTTTTAGCACTTGTGGAATAACCCGACAGACGCTGGCTCTGATTGGTCAGTGTTGCTGTCAGATGTCTCTTGTGATTTCCCCGCAATTTTATTGGCGCTCTCATTGGTTGTTTCCCGAGGTGGTCTAGGATTCCCCCCCCCCCCCCCCCCCCCCCCCCCCTGCCCCGAACTGCTGGGTGTCCCGGGATAGCTATGTTTAGTACAATCTAGGGCAGTGGAAAACCCATGGCTCTAATTGAAGTATCGCGGTTTCATCATACAACACAAACTGACGCACGCACACGCAAACAACAGTAGCATTCCCGTGGACCGACTGTCAAAACTATCACCATCAGGTGCCTTGTCGACTGGCGTGGATAATAATGCCTCTCCATAATCTACGATCTCCTGCAGCATGTATCAGTTCATGTGCTGACACAGCTCCATGCCATGCAACAAGACTGTCAAGAATCTTCTCTCGTTGTCTTCCTCTATCCCTCCTTCTACAGATTTTTCCAGAGATCACATGTTCAATATTCCCTCTTCATGTAAGGATAAGAAATCACAATGCACAAGTTTATCTGATATACTTTTCGTTCAGTTTGATATCTTTTCTGGATATTTGAGAGTATCAGTATTTGTTTCCTTTTGTTCTTGGTATTCTGAGAATCCATCTATAGCATTTCAGCTCAAAGGCCTTCATTTTCTTTCTTTAGACTGGGAGATAGTCCATGACTCACATCCGTATGTTGCTACAGGTAAGATGGGAGATAGTCCACGACTCACATCCGTATGTTGCCACAGGTAAGATGGGAGATAGTCCACGACTCACATCCGTATGTTGCCACAGGGAAGATGCGATAGTCCACGACTCACATCCGTATGTTGCCACAGGGAAGATGCGATAGTCCACGACTCACATCCGTATGTTGCCACAGGGAAGATGCGATAGTCCACGACTCACATCCGTATGTTGCCACAGGGAAGATGGGAGATAGTCCACGACTCACATCCGTATGTTGCCACAGGTAAGATGGGAGATAGTCCACGACTCACATCCGTATGTTGCCACAGGTAAGATGGGAGATAGTCCACGACTCACATCCGTATGTTGCCACAGGGAAGATGGGAGATAGTCCATGACTCACATCCGTATGTTGCCACAGGGAAGATGGGAGATAGTCCATGACTCACATCCGTTTGTTGCTACAGGGAAAATGAGAGATAGTCCATGACTCACATCCGTTTGTTGCTACAGGGAAGAGGCATGCTCTCAGAATATTATTTATTTCCTTGCTGGTGCTTCATAAACTGTTAATGTTTATTTTTTGCATTGCTAAGGCCATCCTCCTTTTAATGTCTGTCTAACAGTCTCTATTGCTATTTTTTATAGAGCCTAGATATTCAAAGTTTCTGACATTTTCAATTTCTTCATAGTTATTTTTGGGTGACAGCCAGTTTTATCTGTGGACATTATTTTTATTTTCCTTAAATTCAATAACAGGTCTTGATCTTCATGTGTGGCAGACATGATTAAATGTTCCATTCTTTTGACATTGTTTGAAAGGAAAACTGTGTTATCTGCATAGCAAAGATTTGGAACAGGGTTGCCACCAATTATGAGCGGTTCATAACTGTTACAATTCTGGTCATTTTTGAAATTTCTCATTATATTTTCTGCATATATATTGAACAGGTATGGTGAGAGAATGTACCCCTGCCTCACTCTAGAGTCGAAATTTTTTAAACTTTATTTTCAAATTTACCATCACATATTCTACCTTTTCAAACAGTCTTTCACACTGCAATTTCTCCATGTGACAGACCACTTTCCCCAAACAACCACAGAATGTTAACTCCACCTTACCCCCAAAACAACGAAATGTTGACTCCACCTTCCCCCTAACAACCACGGAATGTTGACCCCACCTTCCCCCAACAACCACGAAATGTTGACTCCACCTTCACCCAACAACCACAAAATGTTGACCCCACCTTCCTCCAACAACCACGAAATGTTGACTCCACCTTCCCCCAACAACCATGGAATGTTGACTCCACCTTTCCTCCAACAACCACAGAATGTTGACTTCCACCTTCCCCTTAACAACCACACAATGTTGACTTCCACCTTCCCCCTAACAACCACAGAATGTTGACTTCCACCTTCCCCCCTAACAACCACGGAATGTTGACTCCACCACCCCCAACAACCACGGAATGTTGATTCCACCTTCCCACCAATAACCACAGAATGTTGACTTCCACCTTCCCCCTAACAACCACAGAATGTGGACTTCCACCTTCCCCCTAACAACCATGGAATGTTGACTTCCACCATCCCCCCTAACAACCACGAAATGTTGACTTCCACCTTCCCCCAACAACCACGGAAGTTGACTCCACCTTCCCCCAACAACCACGGAATGTTGACTTCACCTTCCCTCCAACAACCACAGAATGTTGACTTCCACCTTCCCCCTAACAACCACAGAATGTTGACTTCCACCTTCCCCCTAACAATCACAGAATGTTGACTTCCACCTTCACCCCAACAACCACAGAATGTTGACTTCCACCTTCGCCCCAACAACCAAGGAATGCTGACTCCACCTTCCCCCAACAACAACGGAATGTTGACTTCCACCTTCCCCCAACAACCATGGAATGCTGACTCCACCTTACCCCTAACAACCATGTAATGTTGACTCCACCTCCCCCCCCCCCAACAACCACGGAATGTTGACTTCCACCTTCCCCCAACAACCACGGAATATTGACTCCACCTTGCCCAAACAACCATGGAATGTTGACTCCACCTTCCCACCAACAACCACATAATGTTGACTTCCACCTTCCCCCTAACAACCACAGAATGTTGACTTCCCCCTTCCCCCAACAACCACGGAATGTTGACTCCACCCCCCCCCCCCCAACAACCATGGAATGTTGACTTCCACCTTCCCCAAACAACGACACAATGTTGACTTCCACCTTCCCCCTAATAACCACGGAATGTGACTTCCACCTTCCCCCTAACAACCACGGAATGTTGACTTCCACCTTCCCCCAACAACCACGGAATGTTGACTCCACCTCCCCCCAACAACCATGGAATGTTGACTTCCACCTCCCCCCTCCCAACAACCACAGAATGTTGACTTCCACCTTCCCCCCAACAACCATGGAATGTTGACTTCCACCTTCCCCTAACAACCATGGAATGTGACTTCCACCTTCCCCCTAACAACCATGGAATGTCGACTTCCACCTTTCCCCTAACAACCATGGAATGTTGACTTCCACCTCCCCCCTAACAACCACATAATGTTGATTTCCACCTTCCCCCTAACAACCACAGAATGTTGACTTCCACCTTCCCCCCAACAACCATGGAATATTGACTTCCACCTTCCCCCTACCAACCTTGGAATGTTGACTTCCACCTTCCCCCAACAACCATGGAATGTTGACTTCCACCTTCCCCCTAACAACCATGGAATGTTGACTTCCACCTTCCCCCTAACAACCTTGGAATGTTGACTTCCACCTTCCACCCAACAACCATGAAATGTTGACTTCCACCTTCCCCCCAACAACCATGGAATGTTGACTTCCACCTTCCCCCTACCAACCTTGGAATGTTGACTTCCACCTTCCCCCAACAACCATGGAATGTTGACTTCCACCTTCCCCCTAACAACCATGGAATGTTGACTTCCACCTTCCCCCTAACAACCTTGGAATGTTGACTTCCACCTTCCACCCAACAACCATGAAATGTTGACTTCCACCTTCCCCCTAACAACCTTGGAATGTTGACTTCCACCTTCCCCCTAACAACCACATAATTTTGACTTCCACCTTCCCCCAACAACCACAAAATGTTGACTTCCACCTTCCCCCAACAACCACAGAATGTTGAATTCCACCTCCCCCCCAACAACCACGGAATGTTGACTTCCACCTTCCCCCCAACAACCATGGAATGTTGACTTCGAGCTGGACTGGTCTGCCTGAGAAGAGCCAGAAATGCACCAAAACTCCGGTTCTGGGACAAGACCAAAGTCCAGAATTGGATGAGCAAGCAACAAGAACTTTCTGCCGAAGATTACAGCCTGTCAACACAAACAACAAGAACTTTCTGCCGAAGATGACAGCTGGTCAACACAAACAACAAGAACTTTCTGCCGAAGATTACAGCCGGTCAACACAAACAACAAGAACTTTCTGCCGAAGATTACAGCCGGTCAACACAAACAACAAGAACTTTTTGCCAAAGATTACAGCCGGTCAACACAAACAACAAGAACTTTCTGCCGAAGATTACAGCCGGTCAACACAAACAACAAGAACTTTCTGCCGAAGATTACAGCTGGTCAACACAAGCAACAAGAACTTTCTGCCGAAGATGACAGCTGGTCAACACAAACAACAAGAACTTTCTGCCGAAGATTAAAGCCGGTCAACACAAACAACAAGAACTTTCTGCCGAAGATGACAGCTGGTCAACACAAGCAACAAGAACTTTCTGCCGAAGATGACAGCTGGTCAACACAAACAACAAGTGGATACTACCATGATACTGATTCTGTAAAGCATGTTTATATAATAATATACATACTGTGAGTATCAAGTACAATATACATACAAAACTGATGGTAAATGCACACATTCACATATACATTGATACCAAACATTCACATACATACTAGCATACACACATACATACAAACACACATAAAGAGAGATAAGGTGAGAGGTGAAGAGAAAGAGAGATGGGGAGAATAAGATTTAGAGATAATAATACAGAGATGTAGAGATTGGACAAGAAAAACAGATGCAGAGAAAGGAAAATAAAGAGAGAGCTAAAGAGAGAAAAAGAGCGAGAGAGATGCAGAGAGTTGAGAGAAAGAGATGGA